GTACGAGAGAGAGAGAGAGAGAGAGAGAGAGAGAGAGAGAGGAGAGAGAGAGAGAGGGGGGTGAAAGAGAAATGAAACGTTCGCTGTTCCCTGCTGATTCATTCTGAATTTCAGTACCTGGTGGAACAACGATCGATCGTTGTCCTCAAGGCACTTGCTCAGTGAAGCTGTGAATTCCCCGTACAATTCACGACCATGCGTTTCATTCGACAAATAAAGTAACAAATCGTTTCTATCATTCCTTTCCCACCGTTTTTGTGTTCACGCTCGACGGTACTCCGTTAGACTTCATTTATCTGGCAATCGATCGAACCCCAGTCGAATATTTAACCAGTCCTATGATTAAAAGTTTCTTATTTCTTATTTCGAACGAGTAAAAACATGTTGATCCAGCTTACGCCAAAGTTCTTAATTAATCGAGTTCTTTAATTAACAGTTGCAAGTTCAAATAAATTCGTAATTATGCATTCGAGGCGAAAAGAAGTTGTTAATTACTTCTGTGCACTTCTGACATTATTTCCGGCTATCTTATTTGACGACTTATTCCTCGATGATACGTTTCAAAGTTGATAAAAACCGTAATTATCAATTTATTATCACGCGAATTGTACGATACGAATTTCTTGGTTATTCGTCTTGAAGGAAATCCGTTTCATAGAATTTATACACGTGATGGAGATCACGTGAGCGTGATTACATACATTCAAAAATCAATTTTCATAGTTCGATTTTTATAGTTTCGATCGTGAAACGGAAACTAGAAGAATCGATTCAGTTTCCGTGGATATATCGAGTTTCTTAGGGAAAAAAGTTGGAATATCGGGGCACACCGACAAATGGAGGAGTTCCCTCCCGTGCGCAGTTTGACAAATAGATATGCAAATCATGAATTACGCGAGCGGAACGCACGCGGGATTTGAATTATCGATAAACTGGAATTACGCGTACCTAAAAGCTGTTTACATACCTACAAACTCGCCTACTACTACAGACTATTTACTGCTATTACAATTATTAACAATTATATAAATAAATAAATAAATATATAAATGAATAAATGAATAAATGAATATATATTATGATATAGAAATTATACATTGTTTCGGCATGAAGATGTAAGAATACTGTTGGTAATGAAATAAAGAAGACTATAATTGTCAGACTGGCATAATCGACGGAATAATCTTATTGTACGATCCTTAAATTTAATTGTATTTCGCATTCAAAGTTTGAATTTATTTTTTGAAAGGAAAAATAATTTTAATCCAAATTTCCGTAATTTTCGTTTTAATATTATTATTTTAATATTTCATTTTCCAAACTTATTTCTTTGTTTAATATCAAATTCATACGATGATAAAAATTTGACATACATATATATATATATATATATAAAACTCAAGAAATTTTTTTATTTACTCATTTGTGAATACATATATATATGTATATATATATATGTGTATATATAATATATATAATATATATATATATATATAAAACTCAAGAAATTTTTTTATTTACTTATTTTTGAAAGAGTATTAATATTACCAGTTTAATGTGTAATTTGACGCAATATGTATAATATTATTAAAAGAATTATAAGATTTTTCACTCACGTTATACGAAGATGTAGATTGAACGATACCAATGAACCGCATCTATTCTGCCAAATTTGCCGCGCAATTGCCAACGCCATATTGCTTTTTTTCGCTGTTTGAAGATCCCGCGTCATCCAATTTTCCCACGTTTTCTATTTCATGGAAAATCGATTGAATACGATCTCTGAAACTTGTCTTTGCTTCATTCTCACTAAGATAATGTTATCACACTTTTATAATACGATATTTTCCAATTTCAATGAAAATTATGATGAATAATCGGAAAAAATTTATTTTCGAACTAACGCGCGATCAGCATTCATAAACTCGATGAATATTTTTCACGAAAACGCGTATAATATACGTTAACGAACGAAAATTTTATACGATATACACTTCTTGGATCACGTAAAAACTATTTTGAACACTTTTTCTAACACTTTGCGACTTTTCACTAAAAAAATTCAATTTATTTAAACCGATGAACGCGGACTCGACTTTTCGAAGAAACGAACATGGCGTATGTCATGTGACCTGTTTGTTCTCCATCTAAGTTCTACCAGGCGGAGCCACTATATTCAGCACATGCGCATTATCAAAATCTATATTAAAATGGAGGAAAAGAGTCAAGTTGTGGAACGAGAGGCTAAGAAGGATGAAATTCACGAAAAAGATGGAAAATCTGCAAGGTGAGCGAACATTCAAGCGATTCTTGAAGAGTGCTGCTCGTGTAATTTCTATTGATGTGATTGATAAATTCTTGATTTGGTTTGCTCTAAATGCACGTTATGGATGACCGGCAATACCGTAGGCACAATTTAAAGTTATTTCTTGTCATCCGTTATATAATTGTGTTTGTGTCCATGTGTGTGACATGAACTGTATTTTATTATTAATTCAAAATAATAGAAAGATCCTTGCATTATACTATTGTACCGACCTTAACTTAGATTGACGTTTTAGAATTATGTTTATGAGTCAGAGTAACCTACTAATGCAAGAACATACATATATGTAATACTTTTGACGTTTAATATCGCAAAGAATAATTTTATGTGTAACCATTAATCATTAATTTTTATTACTTAAGAATTCTTTCAAAAATGTATAATGTTTATTTAAATTTTTATCAACATCCCTTCCTTTGTTTTTACCTTCCTAATTCTATGCTTATATTTTATGTTTGAGTAAATCCTTTCCTTTTATCATTATCAATATATGAGATAACAAAATGAAAATACTTGTAATTTAGTTCAAAAAAGAGACATCGCAAAAAGAAGAACAAGATGGCGCATGCCACTGGTGAAAATCACAACCACGTTGGCCACAGAGACGAACATGAAATGCATAGCACGTGTAATATTTCAATAAAAGATATACAAATGGCAATGGAAGTTTTTAACATACAACAAAAACCAGCCAAAACTCAAGAAGAGGCTATGCAAAAACCTTATCAGTTTTGGAGTACACAGCCAGTACCAAAAATGGGTAAATAGTGCAATATACTTATTCTTTTTTTCATCGATGATAAAAAAAAAAAAATATCTTGAAAATATTTCGATAAAATTATATTATATAAAATTTTTATAGATGAAAAAATAATTAAAAATGAACCTATCGAATCCGACAAAACATCTATCAGGGCAGAACCTTACTCATTACCAGCAGATTTTCAATGGGATACATTAAATCTTGATGATCCATTAGTTCTATGTGAATTGTATACTTTATTATCCGAAAATTATGTGGAAGATGATGATGCTATGTTTAGATTTGATTATCCTCCAAATTTTTTAAAATGGTAATTAAAATATCGATTTATAAAATGTTTAATTGATTTTAACGATAAATCTTTAATGGAATATATTTTTTTAATTTTAGGGCATTGCAATCTCCTGGATGGTGCAAAGAATGGCATTGTGGGGTACGGGTGACTAAAACTAGACGTTTAGTTGGTTTCATTTCTGCTATTCCAGCTACTCTACGTGTTTATAACCAGTAAGTATCGAATTATTTTTAGTCCATTTCTTGTTAATAAAAAAAAAAAATTTTTTTTAGCACCCAAAAGATGGTGGAAATAAATTTCTTGTGTGTACACAAAAAACTGAGGTCAAAACGAGTTGCGCCCGTATTAATACGCGAAATAACTAGGAGAGTTAATCTTCAAGGTATATTTCAGGCTGTGTATACTGCTGGTGTTGTACTGCCAAAACCAATAGCTACTTGTAGGTACGTATCAATATTGGAATTAATATCAATTAATTTATTATTAACTCGTATTTGTATTTATTGTATTTATGTCGTTTACATACATAAATTCGTTTTCCAAAGGTATTGGCATCGTTCTCTCAATCCAAAGAAATTAATCGAAGTAAAGTTTTCGCACTTATCTCGCAATATGACTATGCAGAGAACTTTAAAATTATTCAAACTGCCAGAAAATACAAAAGTACCAGGATTTAGAAAATTGGTTGAAGCAGATATACCTCAAGCTCATAAAATATTAACCGAAGTAATTATTTTTTGCAAGAATATATAGTAATTACTATTATAATTAATATTTTTAATTAGAAGAAATTAATTAGAGAGAGGAAGGAGAAAATATCAAGTTCATTTATATTTTAGTATTTGGAGAAATTCGATTTGGCCCCAATCTTCTCGATCGAGGAGTTTCGGCATTGGTTCCTTCCGCAATACGGGATTATTAATAGTTTCGTAGTAGAAAATGAGGGTAAAATCACCGATATGGTTAGTTATTATACGTTACCGAGCTCCATAATGCATCATCAAACACACAAGACGCTTAGGGCCGCGTATAGTTTTTACAACGTGTCCACGGCGACTCCTTGGATCGATCTTATGACGGATGCACTGATATCGGCTCGTAATGTAAGTTTCACGATTTCTATTTTTCATTACACGAGAAGATAATATCACTTGCGTATTGTTTTCAGCTCGATTTCGACGTGTTTAACGCATTAGATCTAATGGACAACAAAGAATTTTTAGAACCGTTAAAGTTTGGTATAGGCGATGGAAATCTACAATATTATTTATATAATTGGCGTTGTCCTAGTATGACACCTGGAAAAATTGGTTTGGTGCTTCAATAAAATTCTAGCTCAGCAAGTTTGTTGTGTAGAAAAAAAATTTTCGCACGTGCAAGCTTAAAAAAAA